GGCGTACTCACACTTGCCCTCGGTGAGCGCGGAGGAGGTGCGGTGCGAGGACTGGCGCCAGGCGAGCGAGCGCACGTGGCCTCGCGTGCCCGTGTGCACGGCGTCCACGCTGAGCGAGCGGCTCATGGCGTGGCGCCAGTGGTCGGCCGGTCGCGACAGCGCCGCCGCCGCCGCCTCCGCCACCGCCGCCGCACCCGCCAGCGCCAGCTGCTCGTTCAGGGAGTACAGCTTGTGCGTGATGTCCTTGCCTGCAGCACACCCCAGGCGCCCGCACACGGCAGGATTCAACATCCTCATCGGGCGGAGGAGCAGGCCAAGTGGCCTCATCCACGCCACCGACAAAGACGTTTATTTACTTTTTGACAAGCACATGCAAATATAAGTGTAATGGAAACGACATCATAAACGACAACAGTAAACACAGAAATTGTCTTAATGATTTCTTCCTCAACATGAATAATTTGGACTGATTGATTGTAGCTAGATTTAGAAACACTTCTACAGAATTATCGACTCGTGGTATCCCCCTCTCGCACGGGTCTTTGAGAATGTATACGGCAGCTGTTGAATACTCGACTAAACGCTAGAACACTTCTCATGAACCCGTGGTTCTTGGAGTGTTCGTATGGAGAACACTTTTGCCAATGAAGGGCGCTTAAGAGTATTTTCACCTCCATACAGTCTCGGTCACCAGGGATAGCAAATAATCTCTGTTAGAAATATACAAAACAACAGCAATGAGTTACTATTTTTATTCATTATATTTCAATTAATTTTAACCTACACTATCAATAGCTTTTATGATAAAAAATAAAAGTATTTAAAAACCCAACAGTAATGCGGGATGAATGATAGTCATTATCTTACAATCACATGTGAGATTATAATATCTGTTATATGGTCTTAAAATAATATCTTAGTTTAAAATTAACAAGTGAATATATATATATATATATATATATATATATATATATATATATATATATATTAAAGTTTTATCAGCAGAAAACTGATTACGTTTGAATATCAATGAATGAAATGGGATTTAACTCGTCCCAAAGAAGAAATAAAACAAAAAAACACAGTCGTGCTTATAATTTTTTATATATATTTTGACTTTGATGTATAATCTGATAAATTAATCTTATGAGTCACCTATAGATGGCAATTTCGAGTTGTATAGTTCACTGTTAATTCACATTCCATACGAATTGCGATGATGTGTATCAGAGGGAGTAACCATCTAATGACATTGCATTACACTGAAATTAAACTGTGCACAATTATTGACTAGTCAATTCCGGTGCAGGTACTAAGAGATTTATGTGTTGAGGCGTCCCGTACATGGCTCACTTGCTAGCAGGGGCACTCGCGCTATCTGGTAACGTGTCCGCGAATCCGGACAGCGCGGCTAACTGTAAGTGCCATCTCTCGGGAATTGTCTCAGGTACGCATGTGTAATGATTAGGGGGCGCACTTTAATGAAATGTTTATTTAATTCTTTTCACTTTAGAACAATACCTTTTAGTAAAGACATTAATTTTATGTTGTAAAAAAAGGAAATTTCCATTACTTTTTTTGCATTTTTCTTCGATTTTGGCTAAAAAGTTAATTTTTTATAATTTTTGTCATTTTTAAAGCATTTTTGCGAACTTCGTCGATTTTAATATCAATTTAATGGTACTTGCTTCAAATAGTATTTATGAGATGTAACAAATATTCGCCACAGAATTCCTGAGTAACCTAATCGATTTCTTCGCTCAGAAATTGTGATCTCTACCGTTGTGAGTATGTAATCTAAAGTTCCCGTGACGCCTATCAGCATCTTTGTCGGCTTAACCAATTTCACGATAACTAAAGACAGATATTTTCTGGTAAATGACAGTCGAAACCAAAAGTTGCAAGCTGAGTTCACTTGAACGTAAGGAAGAAGCATGGATTACATCCAACAGCTTGTAACATATCCAACATGTCGAGTTGTTCATTTGAACGGGTTTGCTAAAGAATTAAAACATTTTCTTTGCTTTTATTGCATTTGAAAAATAGTTTTAGAGCATGTAATTGATAATTTTTGATTGATAATTTAAGGACATCAAAATCCGCTCCCTAGTAGTAATACATTATTTTTTTTCTCATGACCAAAACGTATTCTTTAATGCCACATTCCCACTGGAAGCAAGTATGTTTGATTAGAGTGGAAAAATATTGAAGATTAAAATAAAGAAATAGGTATTACGTTGTTGCAATTTGGGGCATTGATTGTGAGAGAGTTGTACACTTCTGATTTAGAAACAAGTGGGTTAATCAGGCACTCAGGTATATGTTTAATGACTGATGAAAGAGCATCCCACTTCATTGTTATACATGAATATATATTTTAAACCGAATATTTTCTTTAAAAAATTGAACATTTTGGATACATTGAAAGATCAAATTTGACATTCTGAAATTCGGCTGAACTTGGTGTAACGTGCTGGACCACTCATATGTCTCGTTCGTGGGTTCAACCGATAATGAAGCGTAGGATTTTTGAGAGCAAAACTCTTAATTTACACGTCTCCCTTTGGACGGGAACTAAAGAAGTCCATCCCAAATCGTACATTTACTACATACAAAATAATTTAGCTTTTGAGGTACCATCTGAGGAAATTTATGCTAAATTTTTCTTTTCAAAATAATAGCTTAGTTCGTGACCATATTGCATTGAAAACAAAGCCTATTTTGTCACTCTCCTATTACACTTCAAAATTATTTTCAATAAACGATATAATCATATCTTTCCGTAAAAAGATTTGTAATCTTACGCTTATAATTCTTGATATTGATGATGAGAATGATATTTCATATTACTGTTATTGGTCTTAATTTTGTGCGATTGTTAGGTTTTCAAGCGTACTAAAGATGGCGGTCTAAACGACCATGCCCAAAGGGTGTTGAGTGCCACCAAAAGTTGCCGAACGAGAGGCGCGAGTCAAACGTGTAGCGGTCGAGGAAAAACTCGCCGGACAGTATAGATTTGTTTAAATATGGGAAACGAAAGAAGAATTACGAGTGGGAGAGTAGGAAAGCACATGGGAGCAGTGTTACGTATCGATGCTTTAGTACACAGAATTCTTTGTTTCGAGAAAATCAAGATTGAAGGTTTGTGAATGGGCAGTTACTTGTGGAGCATCAATGTGGCTTGCTGGGTAAAAGTATGATCCTAACTGCAATGCAATCTGTGGAGATGCAATCATTGCACACTAGTAGAAATGAACAAAAGTTCTTCAAGAATGATATTAACCCCAAAACGACCAAGAGAGGACATAAAATGATTTTGTACTAAAATATTGATATCGTTAATTGATTTCGTTCAGAATGCAGGGGAGAAATCATTATTTGTATATACGCTTTTCTGCTTGAATCGTTATTAATGAATGTGTTGTGTTTTATTTCAAACAAAAACTAATAACTCGTTATATCACACAGCGCGAGAAAAATATGCCAAAACTAACGGCAATGAATATAATTATCAAGAACGTATATCAAGTTATTGTTAAATATCATTGTTCAAGACATCTCAGCTGATATCAATAAATAGAGTGACGTTACTCTGGATGAGAATGGTTTATATTGATTACTGTGATTTCCATCGATAAACTACTCTAATATGACATCTAGACTAACTGTAAATATTGAATAATTGTAATATTTCTAGCATAATTTTATGTTATTTGGAATGAAACAGTTAACTTAAAAGTAATATGCAACACGGAAGTGACGTATTAGCTGCCATAAAATAACTCACTGCAGATTGTATTAGTTACCAAAGGGCATTGCATTTGTTTTAGTAATACTATTTTTCACGTTTAACAAAAATATTTTCTTTTTTGATACCAACATTTTAGGGGAATTATCAACTATTTTATTACATACCAACAATATAAATCCTTATAACTGCATATGCATACACACACACGTTTGCTACATAAACTCCAACCGGAGTAATTTATTATCTCCGATAGCGATGAGTCATTACCTCTCATATTTGCATTCACTTTTATGCACATAAAAAAGTGAATGTAATTTAAAAGTGAGTGGTTTGATTGCTAATCTCAAGTTTATAAAAAATAGAGAATAATACCATTACAGTGTCATTGGCTGATAGAAACGGAACCACAATTATGCTGCTAGACATTTAATTAATATTTGGTATTTTAATCTTTTGATTTGTTTCCTTTCATTTAAATGTTTTGTTATCTACATGTATTACTTAAATATTATTATTGTTTTGTATTATTTATTAATTATGTTTAGCATTTTAAAAGAAGTTGATTTGGTGCTATTTTCCTTCTATTTTTGTGTTTGAAAATCATACGGTAAATGTTGCGTATGTAATTATAATTGCGTGATGTAGCAGAGACTTTAATCAAGAATTGCATTTATACACGTAACATGAAAGTATTATTAATTCTGTGTAAAAAATAATAGCTAAGAATGATTTGCAGAATTAACCCCTCATTTTATGAGTTTTATGAATTTGTTTTAACGTTTTTCCTACAATTATATATTTATGTTTTTTTAGTGTTTTACTACTTTATACCTTTCTCGCATTATACTGTATTCATAGCATTATATTAATATTTTTTCTACTCCTTTGCTGACATAAGGAAGTAATTTAATTTATTAGAGAAAACATCTATAGTGTTTGCTTTCAAGATGGTTTCTTTCTGAAGAGACTCACCGATGATGTTGTCGAGAACAGTCTTGAGCAACGGTCTATGGCGTAGGACGCGTTCCAGCTTGATCCGCGGCCAGCAGATGTACACGCACTCCTGCTCCGCTGTGATCGTCACCTGCGCACACCACCATCATCACTATTTCGACTTTCCACATCGACTGTCACTCACACTAACAACCTGCACTCAATGTGATAGTATTGGGTTAAATATGGGGTGACAAAACGCTCTTGTGATTTAATTTTACTCTCATCTGCGCTGTCCGGGTGACGCCGCGTTGAGGTACTAACGTTTCGACCGACATATCGCGGTTCTCTTCAAGGCTGTATTGCCAAAGTGCTACTGAAATGCTCCTGCTACTGAAGTACAGCCCTGAAAGGGCATTACAGCCCTGAAGAGGACTGCGATATGTCGGTCGAAACGTCGGCACCTCAGCCATCGACGCGGCGTCACCCGGACAGCCCAGATCATGACTCTGGCCGCGGAAATCTACGACATCATTTAATTTTACTTTTTCGCGTACTACGTAGTACTATAAAGACATTGTAATTCTGCAGCAAAAAACGACAATTTTACAGAAAAACTAGTTATGTAGGTCCCTTGCCCTGAAAAACTTCGGATATCTTCCTATAAGTAGTAAATTATTTCATTTCACACTTTATATAGTAAAAACCCACATTTTGTAGATCTTTGATACCGAAAAATTGGTTTATGGTAATCGTGCGTTTGGCCGCAAGTTAACAACGTCTAAATCGTAAGCAGGATTTTCTCTAAAATTGATATTTTAACACCGATTTTACTGATGTCGCGACCTATTGAATTTCAAACCGATATTTAGATATTTGAGGATACTTTACATACAACATATGGCCATTTAAAACTTTTCTCAGTAATAGTTCCATATGGTTTTCGTTGAATTCTCTGAATTGTCTAAAATTGCAAAGTTCAAAGTTTCCTCGGCGTCTTTCTACAACTACAGTATTGAATATATTTTTTTTCTTAGTGGAATCAGTTGTTCAAAATCAGATCTTTAATTTAAATCATGTACAATTTCGCGTAACTTTGGATGAAAGAAGGCAATTTCAAACTCAAAACTTTTTGAAATCAGACTCCCCATATTTTTTATGTTTATTTCGGACAGTGAAAAGTGCGCTTATAAAAATGGCGCACTTAAAAACCTCCGATTTTCTTCGAACTCACAAATTTCACAAAATTGCACATTTCATTTAGAAAAAAATATTTTCATAATTGTATTAGAAATAGTTATAAAAACCACGAACAAATTTCGCATTTTTGCTATTTAAAAAACAACAACAGGAATTTCAAGAAAAATGAGACGTGCCTCATTCCTTTAAGTGTTTTTACGCTATCCACGATCAAAAGTCAATATACAAATTGGTACCTTTTCTGAAAAAATATAAAATTACCTAGATTTTACGCAAGATTATCTGAAAAATACTCGGATTTTTGATAGGAAGTCTCATAAAAAATTAATCATTCGCAATTTTCGAAAAATCAGTGATATTAAGGATTATGAAGCCTAGAGAATTCTCTTAAGCGGCCTTTAGACTATCGGGCAACAAAATTTAATCATAAAATTTGGACCCATTTTTGTGAAAATTTTGAAATTGTCCCAGCGGTTGCGTGTAAAATACCCCCAAAATTAAAATATCGTTTTCAAATTCAAGGAGCTGCAACATCAACCAGAATATCAATTTTGGAGAAAATCGGCTAAACTTTATGCGCTAGCGTTGAGCACACACGGACAGAGGGACAGAGAAAGAGATGGGCAGCGGGACAGACGGATAGACGGACAGACGTTTTGTCGTCAATGTTTCTGTATCAAGGACTCACAAAACATGCATTTTGACTTTATAATCTGTAAAAAAGAAAGTAATTTACTGTACATAGGGACTAGATTTATCTATTTTTTTGTTACCAGAGAACGGTAATTAAGGAGTTTCCTGTTTAAAATTCGCAGTTTTCTTCCCGTAGTATTACAATATCTTATCTGTACTATGTAAGTAGTAGCAAAAAAGTATAGGGGGTTTATGAAATCGAAAGATTTAAATAAAATGTTTAAAAATTAGCATTTAAAAACAATGACATTTGAATAAGAAATATATTTTCTAACCATGTATAAATTTAAAACCAATCAAACAAATGTTTGTTCGAAATGTGTGTTTACTCCTCTTATTATCCAAAAGAACACTTAATAATATTATATCCGGTTATGAATGTTGAACACTAACGCTTTAATATAATGTTTGCTTGCATAAAGGCTCAATTACGAAATGAAAATTTGAAATCGAACTTCTTAGAGAAGTTAAGAGAACGGGCTAACTTTTCAGTTGAAGAAATGGGGAAGTGGGCAACCCGTTAGACACGTGTGTATGTAACACAAGTGGTTGCATTGGCACAATCTTCAGGCGCAGGTTGAAGATATGATAAATAGGAAAATGGTTTCCAGTAAGTAGAGAGCGAAGATTTGCCTTGATCGCTTTTTTTCTTTCATACTTTATACCACGAGAGATTATATAGTACATAAATTAATTATATAATTTTAATTTCAACAGTTTTGAAGTAGTAAAGCTCGTAAGTATGTGACTAGTTAAATATAATTTATTACTCTCTTTTTACAATTCAAAGACTTGTTATTATTTTGTTTGATTCCTGTTTCCCTCATTTTGCTACGTAAGTCCTGTCCATGAAAGTATAAAATAAATGTTATTTGTCTTCAAAGCCAAAATAAGAAGACGCAAGTAATTGTATCCATTTACTGAAACAATACATTTAACACATTCTGTTATTAGATTAAATAAGATAAAATATGAATTGAATTGATATCTGAAACCCATTTAATTACTATATTTCTCAAAAACAAAGAAATAACAAGAGAATAAGAAACAAAGGAAACAATAGGTCCCGGAAACAAAGACATTTTTTTAAAAGTATTCGCTCTGTTTATTTTCGAAAAATATTTTATAATCAATATTGTAGTGAAAGGAGGCATTCAAATGCCCGTTGGCTTTCAGAACAAAAACCCTTACACGTACTTAACTTCAAGAGCACCGTGATACAATTAGAGCGCCTGTTGTGCTCGGCGGCGGCGGGGGCG